CCTTTGACTGCATGCATGGAGGTGACGACCGCTCGATTGCCAACTTTGGTCTGATAGGGTTTCTGCAGTTCCACTGCCTTCATACCAAGATGTGCCTTAATAATGTTGCATAGAGGAAAGACATTAGCTGTAGTGCCACAATCAGTCAAGGCACAGATGTTAGTGCAATTAATGAGTGGCTTGAAATAGACTAGATCCACTCCTCCTTGGCCCCGGCCTTGCCTAAGCTTGGCACTGGTCCTTGTGGTAGTGGAAATCTACTTTAGCAGATTCCTCTCAAGGCTCTTTGTACAAGATCTGATACGGTCCAGCCTTGGTATCAGCAAGAGATTGGGCCTCAAAGTTGGGGTGCAGATCAGATTCAGGCCCCTTCGAGGATCTTTCACCTGATGGCTCACCCTCCTGTGTACTGGAGAGTGCTGATAATCTTGCTAGTCCCCCTGCTTTTTTCCCTTCACGCGGAAACTATCTTTAACATAGTGACCCTTTTTGTCACAGTGCAAACATGAGTAATTTTTTATTCTTCCCTGCCATATCTGTTTGCTACTAATCCGGAGATCCTTCCAAGGTTCAGTAGATTCGTCATCCGGATGGGCAGGGAGCTCAACTCCTTGAGGAAGAGTAGATTGGGACTTCTTCATTAAGGTCTGTGAGTATTGGCATTTTTTTGAAGGCATTAAGTTTTTCTTCTTCGATTATCCATCCGAACCCAGGGTTGATGGGGAACAGCCTGCATGAGAGTCTGTCTCTAGATCTTCATCCAGAGTAGAGTAATCCTCTCAAGACTTGCCCATCAGACTCCATCGGGCGTTGTGTAGCAAAGTGGTGGCAGCCAACATGCCACTTTGGCGGATGGGTTCTCCTACCAACGCACGGGTGAGGTCCATAGCCTCCAATTGAACTACCTGTCCCACGACGGATTGTCAGTCTGAAGCCTTTTGGGTTCCTAGACGCCAAATATAGGATTCAGGAACAGCACAAGACCAGGAGTTGTAAAAGGTTGCGACGCTTCCTGCTCTAGTTGACGCGTAGTTCTGGTCCACTGCCTGCCCTGCAACTTATGGACTTGGAATCTAGCCTTCAGGGCAGCATTCAGTGAGATTCCCTATACACCCCCGAGTCCTTTGGTTGCGGAAAAAGGCGTTGATGACGCTTGGTCCCATCGCTGCTGAGGTGGCATTTGGAGTCAGAACCATCGACTACTCATTTGCCTTCTCTACTCAGCCTGATTTTTGTCAGAACCCCTGAATGACTTGGACTTCAACAACAACAATTTGACCCTGTTTTTATAACTCTAAACCATGCACTTATGGACCACCTGGTCCCTAAAGTTTACTGGCCTGTGTTAACCATTTATGCTAATGACTGATGCAGGTTATGTCTTGAATTTATGCAAAATACTTCTTTGGCAAGAAGGCAAGGAACTTAAATTGCAAGAGTACATGACTAACTATCTTCGTATACAAAGTGGTAGTTTTTATGTACGCGAGACCTAAGTGCAATCTATCCACCATTGAAGGATTGGAAGCAAATATTTGCCTCGGATGACACCTTGGAAGTGTATTTGTTACATCTTCGACGCCACACGGGTCCTACCGGACCCGACTTAGGGCTAGAGGGACACACCAGGGCCTAAAGGCCCGACCTTGGGGTACTACAGGCCATAAAGGTCACCTTGGACCAGACCCGACGGGCAGGCCCAAACGACATTACCGTTTGGGCCTGGCGGCGCTCTTGAGGCTGCCGCCCGCCGGTTGGGGCTGAACCGTCCATCTGGACGGTTCAGGGCACGGCCAGGCCTCGCAGCAGTGAGGCCGGCCTCTGCCCACCGGTATAAAGAACTGGTCCGGCCTCACTTCGAGGCATCGAACCACCGGCACTTTACCGGTGCGTTATGGTCAGCGCCCGAGCGCTGTTTTGATGCGCTAAGTTCAACGCAGGAGCGAGCAAGGAGCAGCAGCGGCAGCGCAGCATTAGCGCAGCGGCAAGCGGAGCAGCAGCGGCAGCGCAGCATTAGCGCAGCGGCAAGCGGAGCAGCAGCAGGGCGACTGAGCCAGCACGGCGGCCATTGCCGCCTGAGGTACCTGGGAGCGGAGGACCTCTCCTCCCTCCCTCGTCAGCTCTCTCTCTCTCTCTCTCTCTCTCTCTCTCTCTCTCTCTCCTCCTCCTCCTCCTTCTTCTTCCTCTTCTTCTTCTTCTTCTTCTTCTTCTTCTTCTTCAGACTAGAGACTTATACTAGTTGGACAGAGATCAGTATTGGACTTCGGTGGTATGAGACTGTGGTACTTACCGGATTGGAGACTTGGAGATTGTTGGGGTTGATACTCGGCTGCATCACAGTTCGGACACCGGTTACATTTGGGCTCTGTACCTCCGACATTGGTGACCTATTGTCCTCGACATTTTGATCTTGTTAGATGACATTTTGGACTACCATATCGGTGACCTATCAGATTCTATCTCGGTGACCTTCGGTGTTGTCTACCTCCCCACCTCCTTCGTCTCTCCTCCCACCTTTCATCTGTGAATGCGTGTACGGGATCTGGGCATCGTCTATGAATGGCCCAGACCCCACCACCTCACGATTGTATGTGTGTGGAGTGCTGCTATGTGAGTCAGTCCGTTTATCAGACTTCCGCTGCATATATGCTCATCCTACATTGGTTGATCTTTGGTTCTGCCCATACTCATTGAAGTATGCAACAGTTTTGGTATCGGAGCAGACCAATAACGGATCTGCTCACCAGGTAAGTCCGTTTAGAATTAGATCATTTTGAGTGATCTTCTAAATCGGCGCTGAATTATTACCGAGATTAAAGTTGCAAAATTTCTTTTTTTTTGGTCTTCTGGTTATTTCGGCATTCCGTTTCAATTCAGTATTCGGACTTATTATTCGGATTTCTGTCCTATGCCGGTACGCTGTTTAATTAGATCC